TGGAGTTCTGTATGCCTCATTTACTTGTATATCAGATTCTGTTTCCATGCTTGAGAAATTTTCTGCTATTATTTCTGCAAATGTTCTTTTTATGTCAGTTGTGTTGCCTCTTGCTGTTTCATTGACTCCTATAAGTAGTACATTATTCCTCTTTGCCTCATCTTGCAGCTATTGAACTGACTTTTCCTGGATCCTTGTTGATTTTACAAGTACCTTTCTTTCACGGTCACTACCTGCCATGCTGTCTTCAAGGTCTGAGATTCTATCTTCAGCTTCATTCCAGCAGTTTTTGCAGCTTTGTTTTCCTGGAAGTCTCTTTGAATCTGGTTCGTGCTCTAAGTCCTTTGTATATTTTTCATTAAATGCTTCTGTCCCTTGCCTTTGTTCTTCTATTTTCTTATATGTTTCTTCTTCAGACTTTTTGAGCAGTTCTTTCATTATTATTGTCATTTCGTTTTTTGCCTGAGAGATTATTTCTGATCTCATCTCTTCTATGGCCTTTTGGAGTTGTTTCTTTAGTTCCACTGCAATCATTTCAGGTAATGTCTTTACCAAGTTCTGCTATGTCGATGTCTCCTGGACTTGTTCTGAGCGGGGTGGAGTTCTGGGATTGTGTTTTAGTCCTTCATTTTGTCATGTTTGCTACCGGATGCAGAAAGCTCAGTTTCCCTCTTCAGCAGCTGCACAGCACAGGCCACTAGTGTCCCTAGTTTTCCTGTTGGTCAGGTTTGCCCCTGAGTGACATCTGAGAAGCGCTACTTAGTCTTGGGTTTTCTGGCAGTTGTTGATTTGTATCTAGTTATCTCAGGTCTCAGATGTGGGCATTGGTGTCAGCTGATGGCCGACAGTCTCAGCCAGCATCCCCTTGCAGTTCAGGGCACGTGCACGGCTCAGACTTGGGTTGCACTGGTGTGACAATCCCAGTCCATTGGACCTATGTCCCCAGGCAGTTCAGGGTACAGGGAAAACCCAGACACAACCTGCAGGGTAGACAGTTTGTGAACCACCTGATTCTGTGTCTCCAGTCAGTTTAGGACACATACAGGAACCAAATGCAGCCGAATGGGTAGCAATCACAGACTGCCCGTGCCTTCGACCTCCTAAAGGGTCCTGCGAAAGTAAAGCATGGACTCGAACCGTGGGACAGCAGCTCTTGGAGCACTCAGTCACTCGGTGCAGGGCCCACGCAGGGAGAGTCTTCACAGGCCTTCCCCTTCAGCCAGAGAAGTCCCTGGGGCTTCTGAGTAAGGACCTCCTCTCTGCTGCAGGTGCAGGGAGGGCAGAGACTCAGTCTGTAATAGCGGCAGGGTCCTGGGTCACCCGCTTTGCCCTCAGGAGGTAGATGGGAAATACCTGGCTCTCTCCGAGAGTTTCAGCTGGGAACTGTTGCAGTGTGAGTAAATCATGGACTCGAACTGTGGGACCAGCAGCTCCTGGAGCACTTGTTTATTTGGCGCAGGGCGCACACAGCATGGGGCCGATTTTTGTTGTTTTTGTTTTGGGGGTTTTCTCTTTCTGGTACTGGGAATCGACCTCATGACCTTGTGCTTGCCAGGCAGGCGCTGTGCCGCTGAGCTCAATCCCCAGCCCCAATAACAAGTGTTTTTAAGTCATCCTAAAGAGAATTGAGTCCCTTCATGTTTTAAAATTCTTAAGGCGCACCCTCCAACATTGTTGGTGTGAATGTTAAGTATAGTGTAGCCAGTCTGATAATCAGCATACAGACATCTCGAAAAGTACAAATAGAAGTTTAATTTGATCTAGGAATACCTCTCCTGGGCATGGTCCCAAAAGAGTTAAAATCATCACATTATACTGACATACTTGCATACACATAGTCAAAATGGCATATGTAATAGCTGTCCATCATTGGGTGGATGACTAAAGAAAAATTTTGATAGATTCTGTGTGATTTTTGATATTCTTCACACTCTGGAAAGCTGATTCAAGAGCATGGCAAGTTGAAGCTCAGCCTGAGCAATTTAATCATCAGTGAGAATCTCTCCCAAAATAAAATGAAAAAGGTACAGATGCAGTTCAGTGCTAAGACCTGTGTTTAATTCCACAACTGAAAAGATAAAGGAAAAGAAATGTGCCATACATTCAACCATAAAGATGAATGATATCATGTCATTTGGCAAAAGAAATGAGTGGATCTTCATCCTCTAATATTAAGTTACAGAAGTCAGGCACAGAATAGAAAGGTCACATATTTTCTCTCATATCAGACACCAAAAATACAAATTAGGGAGTAAAATAAAAGGCTATTAAAAACAGAAAGGCTGAGTTGTTGGGAAGATAAACAGGATAAGGAGAGTGGGGAGAAGAGAATGATGGGGGGAAAGCTATCAAAATGATCAGTATGTGATATACATATATACCATTTGCCCAAAATGAAACTAAATCTTCTGTATTGCAGAATGTACTAATTTAAAAATTCCCAAATACCACTCTTGGGAATGGCTGATTTGATGGTATCCTCCAGGGCATTCAGTTAATTCATTGTCAGAATTTCTTAGAAGGCATCAAAACAGAACTTGTGCTAAATGATTAATATGAGGCCCATTGTATTGCAACTGTTTTTTTTTTTTTTTTTTCTCTACAGAAATGAAGTTGAGAAATGCTATCAAAATAAATGTTGGAATCAATATGAGGAAATATTCCTTTGGACTCCAGATGCTAATGTAGACATGAAACAAGCTGGCTTAAAACCAGCTGAAGGCCTTGCTTGTGGAAAGCCCCTCATTGGGCATTTGTCACTAAATACGCCCATCACTGCTCACACTGGACTAAAGACGTCGGAGTATTTGGAATCGGAAGAGAAGCTGCATATATGTAATAAACATGGAAGATCCTGCCGTGATTTCCAGTCCATTCAGAAGGATGCAAGGACAAAGACTGAAGAAAAACCCTACAAATATGATCCATGTGGGAAATCCTACTCTGATCTTAGTGAAAGAACTCACTGTAGAGAGACCTTTGTATATAAGGAAAGTTTTAAAGCCTCCAGTATACCCAATGATGGTCAGATCCATGAAAGAAATCACAACGGAGGGAAACCCTATGTATGTAAGCAATGTGGGAAAACTTTTAGTACACAAAATTGTTATAAAAAACATGAAAGAACTCACAGTAGGGGGAAGCCCTATGTATATAAGCAATGTGGGAATGCTTTTGGCACACACAGTGTATATAAAATACGGGAAACAACTCACACTGGAGAGAAACCCTATGTATGTAAGCACTGTGGAAAAGCTTTCAGCATGCGTGGTACATGTCAAAGACATGAGAAAACTCACAGTGGGGAGAAACCTTATGTATGTAAGCAATGTGGGAAAGCTTTCAACAGGCACAGTGAATGTAAAATACATGAAACAACTCACAGTGGGGAGAAACCCTATATATGTAAGCAATGTGGGAAAGCTTTTACTGGACGATATTACTGTAAAATGCACGAAACAACTCACAGTGGGGAGAAGCCCTATGTATGTAAGCAATGTGGGAAAGCTTTTAGTGCACAATATCATCGTAAAATGCATGAAAGAAATCATATTAGAGAAAAACCGTATGTATGTAAGCAGTGTGGGAAAGCTTTCAGCATGCGTGGTACTTGTCAAAGACATGAAAGAACTCACACTGGGGAGAAACCCTATGTATGCAGTCAGTGTGGAAAAGCATTCAGCATGCGTGGTATTTGTCAAAAACATGAAAGAACTCACACTGGGGAGAAGCCCTATTTATGTAAGCAATGTGGGAAAGCTTTTAATACACAAGGTTCTTGTCAAAGACATGAAAGAACTCACAGTGGGGAGAAACCCTATCTGTGTAAGCAATGTGGGAAAGCTTTCACTACACAAAATTACTGTAAAATACATGAAAGAACTCATAGTGAGGAGAAACCCTATGTTTGTAAGCAGTGTGGTAAAGCTTTTAGCATGCCTAAATCTTGTCAACGACATGAAAGAACTCACACTGGGGAGAAGCCCTATGTATGCAAACGATGTGGAAAAGCTTTCAGTGTGCGTAGTACCTGTCAAAGACATGAAAGAACTCACACTGGGGAGAAACCCTATGTATGTAAGCAATGTGGGAAAGCTTTTACTATACAAAATTATTGTAAAATGCATGAAAGAACTCACACTGGGGAGAAACCCTATGTATGCAGGAAATGTGGGAAAGCTTTTACTACACAAAATTATTGTAAAATACATGAAAGAACTCACAGTGGGGAGAAACCCTATGTATGTAGGCAATGTGGGAAAGCTTTTACTATACAAAGTTATTGTAAAATGCATGAAAGAATTCACACTGGGGAGAAACCCTATGTATGTAAGCAATGTGGGAAAGGTTTTAGTAAAGCTTATCATTGTAAAAGACATGAAAGAACTCACACTTAGTGTTAATTCTATGTATGAAAGCAGTGTGGGAAAGCTTTTGGCATGCCTACTAAAGCTTGTCAAAGACAAAAACTTGCAGTGAGGAGCAATTTTATGTATGTAAACAATGTAAGGATTATACAGATTATTGTCTAATAAATGAAAGAAATCTCACTGGAGAGAAACTATATATATAAGCCTATTTTGAAATTCCTGTGAAAGTTTCTCATGTAGTGGAGAACTGCAGGAATAATTACTATGAAAAGGTTAATGTCAATATTTCTCCATAAAATTTCCAAAAATACAATCCCAGATAGAAATATCCTAAAGTACCATATATTTTGTGTTTCTCAGTAAATCACTTAAATATCTGAATTATGTGTCTGTAGTACTTAATATAGAAATGAATTGACAGAACAGTATTTTTATGTAAATATCTTTGAGCTTAATACATTATGTCTTAGTTAAGCATGATAAATTGAAGTATATTTTTTACTTTCAATTAGTGTTAGTATTTATGTAGTTTTTGTTTAGTCTTTACAATTAGGAAGTATAGGCCACTAAAAACTTAATTTTGTTAATTGCTTTTTGTTAATTATTGGGATTTTCCCACTACCTTTTAAATTTTTGATGTATATAGTCTGTATTCTGTGTAACAGGAGATACTTTTAATTTGATGCCATATTTTATATTAAAATATTTTCAGAGACTTGTGAACATGTTTGGACAAAGTTGATTTGTTTCTGCACAACTTATAGATTAGCATGTTACGTTTCTCATATGACAAGATACCTGCTTATTGTATAGTATGTCATGTACATAATTTTGCCTATTTTTCTTTCATATTAGGCCCAATATTATCATCTACATAAAATTTTGTTTTCTTACCATCAAAATTGTGCTTTTGTTTATATTCCAGTGACATAATTTGGTGGTAATTTTTCAACCATGTATACCAAAAATAACTCAAACTGCTGTTATTTTCTGACTGCCATAGACCAGCAGGACTATAACTTGTCTCCAGAAGGATATCATGAATTATAATAATCCAAAATTATAAATGATGGTATGATTTATCAGCAACAACACTTTTGAAGTAATTTTTGTCAACAGTGAAGTTTTCGGGAGAATAATTGCTATTGAATGTAATGAGGCAAATGTCTTTTTTTCCCTGATGCTGTGATGCCTTTCTGTCTTTAGTATTCATATTTTTTGAGACAGGGTATCACTGTGTAGTTCAGGCTGGCCTTGAGCTTACTGTGTAGTCCAGGCTAGCCTCAAACTCATGGCAGTACTCCAACCTCGGCCTCCTGCCATTTCTGGCCATTGTTATTGTTTTTACCTAATAAGTGGAAATAATGCCACAAAGGAAAACTTAATTCATGAGAGATATGTCAGTTTTTTAAAAAGTAGCATTTACTAAATTAAAATTCAGATTGTATTGTTTTGCTAACTTCAGAGATAAATTTATACAATGCCAGTTTTCATTATTCATAGGGAGCAATGTATAATGTTTGAGGTATGTGACAGACGCCTTCAAGCACATAGACTAGCTCAAAGTGTATACAAAGTGTATCCCAGGTAGACTCCTGTAACCTGTATTTTTAAATATCATTTTAACATTGAAATATTTTGTAAAATGTTTTAAACAATCTTCTCAAAAAAACCTGCTCAATCTTTGATAGGGTTATAGTGTTACAAACCTATGGTATCATGAAAACGTAGGTGAACAATTCATTTTTAAATACCCATAATACAAAAACAGTACAGCTTGCCCTAGTCTTAATTATGCTTAGATGCAAATTATTCACCAACATCTGAAATATCTGCTATAATTCATGAAATATTACACTGCAGAGTATAGTGTCAATTTTTATACCCTACAACTTAGGCCTGACTTCTCTACAGCAAATTTCTGCTTCTTACCATCAATAGGAATGTATGTAGTGTGTACTGCTATTCCTGCTTGTGATGGCATATTGAAACTACAAGATGTTTTATTGCAAGCACATTTACTTTTCCATTATTTTACCATGAAAAAAATCTTGTGAGATATGTTTGTAATCCCACCAACTCAGGAGGCCGAGATGAGAGGAAAACAAAATTGAGGCACGCCTATTCAACTTATTGAGATCCTGTCTGAAAGTATATGTTGAAGTTCTGTTGAGGTAGCTCAGTGGTTTAGGACTCCTAGGTTTACTCTCTAGTATCAGAATTATTTTACACATCAGTGTTTGTCCTTTCCTCACTTAAGATATAAAGGTCTAAGCCAAATGTAATGCTGCATTTGTTTAGTACCAGCATCAGAAGAGGCAGAGGATGATCATGACTTTGAAGCCAGGATTGGGTGGCAATTTAGGTGGATTCCTTCACAAACTGAAACAGTTCTTTTTATGTCTGCATTTTAAGTTTAAGGAAAGAATCCAGTTTAGGTTAAGAACATAAACCTAGGATGGGGTAAAATATCACTATTGCAAATCATGTTTCTGTTGCTCTGGAAATAATCTTCATGGTAATATTTGTACAGCAACCATATATACATGCCTGATCACAGATTAAAATACAAACAAACATGAATAAGACAGGCATTCCTTAGTCTGAATATAGAAGAAACATGAAAAAATTAGTTTTCTTAATGTTGTTCCTCGAGTTTTCAGTAGAAAATAAGACACAGCAAACAATTATATAAAATTGAAAAAATGGATGGACATGAAAGCAAATGACAGAGTGAAGAAATAACCTACAAAATGGTAAAATGTTTTGTATCTACTCTGCAGAGTACTAGTATCTAGAAAAAAGGGGAAAGTGAAATGCATATATACGAAGAAGTACAATTTGTCAATAAACAGCTGAAAAACATGTTCAGCATTTTTGCTCCATGGAGAAATGCAAATTGAAACTGTTTTTATTCCACAAAGAGCATGTATCAGTCAGGGTTTACTACAGAAACAGATAAACACAAGGTATACAAAGGTACAAGAAATTACAAGTTTGGCTTACAATGGTCAGCCACAGAGTTGGATGAGGAAGCTTGCAGAGGGTGTCTGCACACTGAAGGTTGAAGAGCCCAGTCCAAGGCCTGGAGCTCACTGCAGTGTCCATTCAAGTCCGTGTCAGGATAGGTCTGCAACAGAATACTGAAGAATCTACGATGAAGGCTAAAGAGTCCCAGGCGGAAGCTGAACAGTCTGCCAAGGTGAAGGCGAAAACTGGAGCTCCTCCAAAGAACCAGGAATCAGTCCCTCCTCACTTCCCTTTTCTTGTATGCAGCCTAGCCACCCTGGGAGGTGATCCTCTACACCCACACCATCTCCATGCCTTCATCTTGCACAGGCTCAGGATCAATACAAAGTAAAGGCCCTGGCTCCCTGCTGAGTTCCACACTTCACCTTCTAAACTTCTCAAGTTGACACAATGAACAACATCCTAGAGCAGGAAGGGCATGTCCTTTTCACCCCAGGATGTAGAACTGCTGAGTCACTCAGTTAAGCTTCTAGACTCCTCAAGTTGACACAATGTGTCAACCATAACAGAGCATATATCACTAAGAATTCAAAATAAAAAAACAGTCATGAGGCTGCAGGGGGAAAAGAAATAATTCAACATCATTGGTGAGAATGTAAACTAGTTCAATCACTAGGGAAATCAGTGTACAAAATATTAAATAGTAAAATAGTACTTGCACTACTAAAATAGTAATTCCATTCAGTGTAGTGCTTCCTCTTGTTTGTATCTTCCCCAAACAGCTAAAGATAACCTATTTCAATGATACATACATATTCCTGTTTACCACTGCAATACTCTTTCTGTTGGGTAGCAGCAATGGGCCCTGTTCTGTCAGCCACAAGGTACCTACAGTAAACAACAAGTACTCTTAAATGTGCTATATTTAATAAATTATATGTGGTATAATATGTAAAATATAATTATATATTTTATTCTATATTTTGTTCTAAAACAAACTTTGTTATCAGGTCAATATAAGGTATACAGGTCTACATGTGCATAATTTATCAATTACATGCTAATGCAGCAGGGGCAGCCATAATGTTCATTAGATTACATATATTAAGTGCATATTCAATGTATTTTATTTCAACTTTGTTGGGTTGACTAAATACTTCCACTTTCTACCTCAAGGAACATCTGTAACCACTTCAACTTTATTGATGTACATAACATAACCTCACTGTATTCTCTCCAGGGTTCAATGCTGTTAGTTAATGTACTACATTGGAGATTTTATATATATATATGCATTTCTTCTACTTTTCTCATGGTATAAGGGATATTTGATGATTGTTGCCCATTCAGATCAATGAGTCAATAGCAGTTATTTGCTCTTGGACATACAAACACACAGAAGTGTGATACACCCGGTTTTATGGAATTTCTCCATCAAGTCAAGCTGATGACAAGAGCAACAAGCCAAAAGCAAAACAATTTTAATGAGTTAAATATTTTGTTAGCATTCACTTTGGCAGCACATATACTACAAATATTATTAATATATATTTGCAGTGTTAACATTTACATTTGTTGTCAGAGCACAGCACATGTGCACAGCACGTCTGCACTCTTACTTCCCCTTCCCATCTCCTTTCTCCCCTTCCAACCATTTCATCATCCTGTTTCCATTTGTAAAATATCTATCTCATTTTCCAATTACTGACATTTTGTTTTCCTTTATAAAAGTTCAACAATACCTCCAAAAGGAAAGTCAATCATCTATAAATAGGAGCATCCTGAATATGTAGCTCTATAAGGACTTCAGCATCCTTTGTTTCTAAAGAAAATCCACATGGCTTTTATGATTCCAAGAAGCACAATTCCAAATGATAGGTATGAGGCCACACTGGGACCCCAGAAATGGAGATCCAGTGTGCTGCACAATAATATGGAGATCACAAGCAAGTGAGTTCAGTGCATGAAACCTGAAGCAGCAGATTCTCCTACCAAAAACTAACATGCAGGGCTGGCTGGGTTTGCGGACAATCTTTGCTTCTGTATGTCCAGTAGGCAGTGTGTGGCACCAGCTAAGATAACCATAGCTCCTCTTTATCTACTTGTTAATTCAGCCAGTTTAGCAGGGCTGAATATTAAAAATTTCACAAATAAAAATTGGCGAGGTTCAAATCATATGCCATCACATAGCATGGTTAAATCTCATGCCACTATGATCCATCATTATCTCAATTTATCTCATCATATAGCTCTTGTGTGATGCCACATCTTTACAAGAAGGGTGAGTACAATAACACAGGCAACATTCAGAGAAAGACAGCAATTCACATGGCACCACTTACATGTTTTATTATAACCATTTCACTATTAAGTACTATTATGAGTCTCTACATGAATATAATTTATCAATTAAATTTTTTCAGTTATATGTACATAAAATGCTGTATGTGTGTGCATGTGATTATCATTCACTGCTGGAAGCATACATTGGGGACATGGAATCATATCACACTCAGATAAGGAAGCACTATTCTATTTTTTTATTATAGTAGGTCACGTCTGGTTTGTCACAATAGAAAAAAATAGAGAAGAAAGTAGTTGTCTGGAAGAGATGCATGACTGACTTGCCAAATGACAAATGGCATGCATGTCTCCAAAGAACAAAGACTATTCCATTTTCATCTCTAAATAATAGATTCTTGAGAACTTTCTATCTTTGCCCCAGGAAAATACCCCCGTTTTACATAGGTTGT